GGGAGCGCAGAGCCGGGAGCGGGGCCCTTGCTCCTGCGCGTCCGGACCGGGAAGGACCGGGCGCTGTGCCGGCCTTGGCTTGAGCTGTGGTGGGAGTCGCTCGAGGCTTTGGGCTCCTGGGTTGTCACACAGCTCGCCTGCACTGATTTAAAAGCACGTTTAGTAAGGACAGCATGCCGGTCTCTTTGACATCAACACGTGCGCCGTTACGTACAGAGCTTCAGGTACGCGTGTGCCAGAAGGATGAGCGGTTTGACAGGAAAACGTGACCTCACGTATGAGGTGACCTCCAGCTTCTTGGGGTGGACCAGTGACATTCCCCAGCTCTGTTCCTGCAGGGACCTTGCTGGCTTCCCGAGCGGTGCCCGCAGTCTCTGCCAGCATGTCGGTCACCTCTGTTGGGGTCCTCGCAGAACTGACGGTTCTGGAGCAGCATCGGTTTCGCAGGAGGGCTCTGCCGTGCGTTAACGTCACAGGTGCAAGATCCCTGCTGCGGAGTGAAAGTCTGCGTAGTTCCTCTGTAGATTTTGTCAAAGATTCTCATGCAGCCTTAAGATCTGTGAGAGTGTCACAACCAGTAGCAACTTTATTACTTGTACAGCCCTTGTTCCTTGTCTTTGCTTTCTTTGCAAACTCAACAGCAGCGACCAGCTGGATGGAAACAGTGCCCCTCTTGCTGGTGTGCTCTTCCACCGCATTCCTTGCCTTCCTTGTAACCAAAATTGAACTTTTTAGGAGGAGTTGGAGAAGTGTGAATTGCTTTTTCCTTCTGCAAAGCCAGTGTTAGCCTGACCAGTGTCTTTTTGGACATGGGCTGTTATTCTTTTACTACCTTTGGCCATCTGTAATGGTCCACAACGGTTTCTGGGCACTGTAGTCCTTGACTGCAGTATTTAGTTTTCGAGACTTTTGCTGTCTGAACTCCCTGACTGCTTCTGTGTGGCACTGAATTGGATCCTGTGGGAATCGTCAGGCTTTTCATTGCATTAGATCACGTAAATGCTTGTTGCTATGTATCCCAAAAGAGTCAAACAGCTTCTTTCTGTGACTGCGGGATAGGACTTCACACGTACCATGAAATTCAGCAAAGAATGGAAACATTTTGTGGCCATAAAAAGGAATTGCAGCTTGCGACAAGATTGAGAAGCTTTAAGTGCCTCTCTTTGAAAATTTAAGTTCAGGGTGATGTTACAGGCATTGATTATTTCATCTCTTTAAACAGGAAATTGCTTTGTATCTCCCGATGTGCAAGATACCTGTTTCAATCCAGTTTTCACTTCCAGATAAAAACCTTTTGGTGTTTCTGTGGGAGGGTACTCAGAAAAGCGTTCATTTCACTAACTGATCACCAGAGATAGCAATGCATGAGGACTTTAATTTCTGAAAGAGTGGTTTATAAAAGGCTTTTAATGATTTATGTAACTAATTTGGCGAGGCTTGCTTGAAAGTGTGAGGCTTGCTGGCTCCTAGAGTAATTATGTAGGCATACTTGATTCTAAGCTGGTGTTGGTTGCAGTTTCAGGCATTTTTCTTGGAGCTGTTTCCATGCTCTGCTGAATCTAGCATTTCAGTAGTTTTCAGTTCGGCTGCTTGTTGTGCTAGATGTGACTTCTGTGTATTTAGTGACCCTCAGTGGATTCCTTGAAATGTCTAGTGTCCCTTGTTTTGATTCTGCTTTCTCTGAGCTCCATTTGATTTGTTCCTGCACTGGGAGAGACAGTGAAAAATTGTTTTTTCTCCATCTTAAGCCACTCGTGACTTCATTACCTTCTGTGACATCTCTCTCAGTCACATCTTTGCCACACTGAGGAATCTTTGCTTGCTTAGGTCTCCCTTATGTAGAAGATGTTGTACGCTTTTGATCACCTTTGCGTTATTTCCAGTTGTGCTTCCCCCCGCCCTTGGAGGAGAAGTATCAGAAAGGCATGTAGAGCTCCAGAGAATGATGTTCTGGGGACTTTTGCGGTGGCACAGTGCTGTTCTCTTGGGGGTCTCTGTTCGTTCTTCATAGACTGTTAATTACAGCTGCCTCTCTCCTTGGCTGTGACCTCATTTTGATACAGTGGGGTTTTAGATTGCTTCCCCAGGCTGGTCTAGGCTGGACTGTCCCCTCTGCCAGCGCTTGAGTGTGTCTGCAAGGTGTGTGCGGGGTACCACATTGGTACCCCTCCTCAAAAGCTTTTGCTGAACCTCCTGTTACAGCTCTTTCAGCATTTACTTTAGTTCTGCCTGCGCCACGCACGCTCTGTGACATGCCCCGTGCAAGGACTGTGTTTTCGCTGCCACTTCGGCATCCACATCCGTCCCACTGCGACTGTCCTGACAAACCAGGGCTGCCCGGATGGCGAAAGACTGGAGAGGGAATAAGAGGCTGCGGGTGGCCCTCGAGTGAGGAGGAGAAGCGTGGCCTCTGGTCAGCACCGCCGGCTGCGGTATTTTGGGGGGTCTCAAGCCCTGCTGGACCCTGTAGCTCGTGTCCTCCTACCCTGCGCGCGTGGCTGCCTTGCTAGAAGGCATTGCTGAGGCTGGGTTGGCCAATTCATTTGTTGTACTGGTGATGAACTGGTGTCCTTAAGCTCGTCATCAGGAGTTGGTCTCTGTGGTAGCATATCACTAGCTTTGGTGGATTTGTGCCAGTTGTGACACTGACACAGCAGCGTGTTACGTTTTGGGAATGAGTTTGACATTAATTCCAGCTGACTGAGATTTTTAAGAGGCGGTTGGATGGGAAACAAAAAAGTAGAACTTAAAATGGACCAGTGTTACAAAAATGGGCTTATCTGAGTAGCAGGAGTCTCCTATTGCACATGCTGAGTGCTACAGTGTGCTCTTAATAGCATCTTCAAAGAATTCAACCTTTTCTAATTCTAAGCTTTTTGTCATTTTGTGTAATTTTGGCATTGTTGAGCGTGCCTGTGCGATCTGGTGCAAGCAGGCACACGCTCGCCTTGCCTCTATTCCACCTTGCTTAGTTTGTGTCTGTTCAAAAGAAGATGCTGCTCTTTTTAGTGCAAGCAGTTTTTCTTCCAGCCTGTAAACTACCAAACTGGATGTGTGGAGATGTCAACAGTTATACTTACTGTCCATCCAGTTGCAGGATTTTATTTTTGTTTGCATTATTTATAGAAAACGAGCCTGAATACAAGCCATCCTTCCTGCCAGTAAGTTACCACTTTATGTAGGATAGTAAATATTTTTCAAGATCCTTTTGCTACTGTCTTTATTTGAGTGTTCTGCTAAATGTCGGATAAAAAGGAGTTAATTCAAATTCAAATGAACTTTGTTCATCTTTTTATAAAGACAATGACTGTATCGCTGCAAACCTAACATCACACAGAATAACAAAAAACCCATGTTGAATTAATTCAGTAAATATTTCATAAGGTGTTTTATAGCATCTGTAAACGTTCGTGTGTGTTTTGCACAATAAATGTTCGCAAGTGCTGCTGTTTCTGTTCCCTAGTTTAGTGTCTATGCTACGCAAATACCTAGAAATTCAGTCGGGGTTGCGGTTTTGCTGTGCTGGTCAGCATACGTGCCCCCAGACCAACAAAACGCTGATGGCATACGGAGCATTTGCACTGTGGGTAGTTTGACTTCCCAGTGCCGTGTCGGGATTTGCTTTCACACGTTGTAACTTAGAGTGAGTATTTTAGGATGGGGGAGATGAGTAACCGTCTCTTTCCGAAACAGATCGTGTTGCTTGTGGTTTTTTTTTCTGAAGGTGTTGCTCTGGCGTTGGTACCCGTTCTCTTTGCAACATGGTCTTTGCATTTTTCATTATAAGCTTATAAAAGAAGACTGAATTTGTCATGTTTATAAAATTAAGAAAACTTTTTATCTCTTAAAAAAAAAAAGTCATTCAAAAAAAGGTCAACAGTGAGTGTAGTAGATAAGAATTCAAAAAGGCACAGAACAAAAGCCAGATCATAGATTGCTGCAGTGTCACAGGTTGAGGAGATTTCTGCCATCTCTCCTTGAATTCAGCACTAAGGGGAATGCTAAAGGCAGCTCAGCCAGTTGTGGCCAGAAGCAGTTCTAAGACCAACAGGCAAGTAGGGATCCGAAGGGATTAATTTACCAGGAAACGCTTAAAAGAACAAAAGAAGCGTGACTTAACCAAATGCTTGTGTGTAGGGTATATGATAATTCTGTGCCAACCCCTGCATTCCTGAAGATTAAATGTCATGGGCAGAAGGAGATATTTTTAACTGTCCCGAGTCAAGTAAAACTTTTAACTGCCCACGGTGGACGTAGAGGAGCGTCCTTTGCCATTCTGAAAGCAGTTTTCTATGTATTTAAACACTGACATGATCTGTCCTTGCAGCCTTCTCCTCCCCAGGCTAACCAAGCTCGGTGAATCCACGCTTTCCCCACAGGACATATTTGCTAGATGTTCTCTGGACTGGCTTAACTATTTGCCATAAAATTGTTAAGCTCCAAATAGTTGTTTTCAGTTTGTGTATTTAATTTTGAAGAAAGATTTATGAGCCCCAAAGCTTGCCTATTATTTCCAACTATCTCAGTCTATCTAATAAAAGGTATTACCTCATCTCACAAACCTTTATCTCATTTAGAGACTTACATCCTCACAACTACAGCAGTGCTGCTTTTACTGCCAGTGCGATAAACTCTTCCTCTGGACACTTCCTGTCGCTCCCAGTTTGTGCCTCGCCGTCTCTGGTTTGTCCCGGGATGCTCGTGTGTGTTTCCGTACGTGCGTCCTGAGTGTTGAACCTCGGGAGTTGCTCATGACTTTGTCAAGCTGCTTTCTTACTGTTCTTCTGCAATAGGATTGTTTGACTTGTCCCTCAATACTACTTCTCTATGGATTGCAGGTTTGGGGGGTTTTGTTTTTTTCATTAGGATCTCTGGAGATTTTGAATGCTGTATGAAGGACAGAAGCTAGCATTCAGGCTAGATGCATTTGATACTAAAATATGCTTTTTGTTGATACTGACATGTAACTTTTCACGTTTCAGGAACCGTGGATGGAAGAGAAAGCTGAGGAGCCGAACATTTTATCAAAAGCCTACATGTAGACCCTGATGCTTGAATGAATGCAGAATGAAAATGCTTCCTGGAGTGGGTGTGTTTGGAACTGGCAGCACCGCCCGGGTACTAGTACCCTTGCTGAGAGCAGAAGGCTTCTCCATTGAAGCACTTTGGGGGAAGACTGAAGAGGAAGCCAAACAGCTGGCAGAGGAAATGAACATCTCCTTCTACACGAGTCGGACTGACGATGTTTTGCTGCACCAGGACGTAGATTTGGTTTGCATCAATATCCCTCCACCACTAACTCGGCAAATTGCTGTGAAGGCTCTAGGTACCTTTTTATCTTTGGAGTTGGACCAAAAATCCGTAGCTCGTTGGCAGACTGAAATTCGAAGCTGTTACCCCAGCACAATTCTGGTTGCACCAATGTGCAAATGCAGTGCCAAAGGTTTGGTGTGGAATTGGTAGCACCATCTGTGAGAAACGTTACCTAGAATTTTTGTAAAAATACTATTTATAATTGCTCATAGCTTTGCAAATCTTGAAGCAATTGGGCTAAAATATCACATGTCGTCTTCAGACTGAACTTATTGTGGGGAGGTTTTAATAAAAGTGAGCTGTTTCAGAGATGAGGAGGAGGGGGGGGGGAAAATGTTTCTATGCCCATTTAAAAAACAAACAAAACCAAACAAAAAAAAACCCCAAACAAACAACTTCAGTTGCTTAATTGATTTCAAATCTCCCTACCTTCTGCAATAGGAAACTGAGATTTACCTGGGGTGGGGGGATTGTTCAGCTCTGCTTTCTGTTTTCCCCACAAATAAAACCAAACTTGAAAGTTAAAAAGCCTTTGAAGAAGTGTTTGCATGCACTCAAGTAGGATCTTGTGAGTTAGGACCTAAATTCTCTGCAGATGCTGCTTTCAGCCAGCGTGCCCTGGCCACCACCTGGAGCTCTCTGGCCACCCGTGTCCGTAGCAGGCTGGGAGGGTCCTGGATGCGGACTCGCTGGAGGAATCCTTCTGCCTAGCGCAGGAGGGCGGGTGCTGGGGGAGGAGGAGATGTTGGGGACAGCAGGAGGAATCTGGTGAGATGGGCTGGGTGAGGGTGTCTGGGAGAGAAGGGGCAGCACCCCGAACTGGTTGGGCAGGGAGGTGCGAGCCAGCTGCCCGGGCATCCTGATGTTTCCTAATTCTCCAGTGTGTGACTTTGTAGTGTTAATGTCCTCTCATGTAGTACAGCGTGGGTGTCAGTTTGCATATAATTCTCTAAATAACAAGTGTGATATTTTTACCATGTTTACAGGAGATCCACATGCGTTAATTTTAGGATGGGTAATATCTCAAACCATGTGAGCCAGGGTGGTTTGTTGTTCTTAGCCTCTTTGGTCTACAGTAATTTGTTTTGGAAGTAAACGACTCCCCGCACAAACATTTGCAATGCCACTTAGATATGCAGAGAGAGGTTTCAGGCTTTTTTTGTTTCACATTTTTAGATTTGTTTACCTTGTTAGACTACTGTCCTTTGAATTTAAGGTATTCTGATTTTTGAATATTTGAACTCTAAGTTAGAATTGATCTCTTTAAATATGCTAAAAGTTCTGATAAACCCTTGTTAGGTAGTACGTGTTTCACTAGCTTTCATGGCTCTTGACGGTCAAGTGGGCTAAAAGGAGAGAATTGAACCTTCTCTGGTGAATTATTAACTAAAACGGATTGAGATTCTTTCTTTGAGGGCTGGGAACCTGTGAGATGGCATTATCTGGAGGAGGAAAGGGGAATAAAGGGAATAAAGCGGGTGCAGAAGTACAGAGGTGATATGTGTGCTTGACAGCACATATAGGTAAGTGGGAAGTTGAAAAAGCTAGGGAAATCAATGGATGAGATAAAGTGGTTTATTCTTCACTTCTATCAGTCTTGAAATGTTCTGATCTGCACACTGGTACAGGCGTCTCGGACCCAATATGGTGCTGACCTTGTCTTTCAGCTTTCTAGGCTCGTCGCGATGATATCAATAGATCCTCTACCAAGTATGTCGTGACGTGTTTTAAGCCAGTGTTGGATGGCTTGTTGTGATTGAGCGTTCTGAAGGAACACAAAATCATGGTAGGGCCAAAGAGGGCAAGTATGTTTCTCTGAAAGTTCAGATTGATACAGTGGTGTTTATAATTGGAGAATTATTGGCTGTGACTTCTATAGAATAGATTGGTGTTTACCAGCCGGGAGACTGGGCTTTGGGAAAGATCAGATGTGGTGCAATGATAATGGTCTTGTGCATTTTGTTTTGTTGGGATTGGTTGGTTTGTTTTAAAGTGTTTACCTTTTATTACTTATTTGTATACTTTTTTTTAATACTTTAATTATTTTGGGGGGGGGGGGGGTTTTTTGTTTTTTTAATGTATTTTTGGGGGGGGGGGGGTGTTTTTTGTTTTTTTAATGTACTTACATTTTTATTTCTGGCAGAGAGAGAGACCCAGTTTTTCCAGGCAGGGCAATTTGCTTGCATAAGTTTGTTACTGCCAGACATCAGTAAACAAGCCTAGGTACAACTTTGGCATGATGGGGACAAAACACTTTAATTGAGTTCATGAACCAGACAGAACAGATCAAAGCCCAGAGGATAATTCAAATTAAGATCAGTGTAATCTTATGGTTTATCTCCACAACAGGCAAAGCAAGAAGCTATCCTAAAATTTGTGCTGCTTTTGATCTCAGAGGAACTAAATGAATTTCACGAAACGTCTGTGTTGTGGTTCACGTCCCACAGTTAAAATTAGATGAGCACAGAGCAGAGTTACCTGCTGGAGTGGAATGTAAAATGTGGGATGTTTGTGCGTCAGGCGAAGTTCAGGGAGGCAGAACATGAGAAGTCCTCAAAGTAAAATTTCTTCAGGGTGCTAAAGATAATGCTGCTGCATGTAGTGAGCCCAGCCATCAAACAAGTGGTTTGTGGAGTGGCTACAGAGGAATCTTTTACCTGTCTCTCTTGGTTTATACTGGTTGACGACATCGTATAAGACATCTTTGCAACATAGATTGTTTGACCCCCTGATTTTGTGGAGTCCCTGCAAATTATAGCACGCATATGTTAGCTGTGAAGGAAAGAGTCAGAAAGGGCTCTATCACTGCTTTGTGTTGAGACAAATCCAGATTTCCTGTTCGTGAAACAGGATGGACAAGCCTGCTGTGAGTGCTCTTTGCATATTGTGCTTCCTGTCTCTTAACAAGTAGCACGGAGGTCTCTTCAAACAATAGGCAAACGAGATGAAATGATGGAGTATATTTTGGAATGAGCGTTCGTTCATTGGGAGGCTCCCAAAGCAAGCACATCTGAAACAGCCGGTTCTTTGGGAAGGCTCCTCAGACACTCCCAGCTTCTTACGGTGGACAAAGCGTGGTCTGGTGCGCTTCAACAGCAGCCAGTTGTACATCTGCCTTAGGTGCAACCTCAGGTATCTGACGTTATTCAGGGGAGTGAAGAGCTGGGGCTTCAGTTCAATGGACACGTTGACATGGGATAAATAGATTTGGTAGTTTGAGTCAACGCTCCAACTGTGCAGAGAGAGCCAAGGCTGGGGACTTCAGCTGCTCATGGACAGTGTTGGATGGGCAGCTGTGGCTACGAAAGCCAGGCAAAGAAACAGCCAAAGAGGTGAAGTGGTAGCTGTCACGGAGAGAAGGCGGCTGTTCTGTCCCGTTCGTTGCACTGCCAGGGCAGGCTGCATGGCACGTGGCCAGTGCTGTTCTGACCGTGCCGCAGGGACACGCTGTTCACGGGTGCCTTTGCTCGTTGTGTTCACTCACCTGCACGTCCTGCCTGGACAGGACAGCAGGACCTCTCCCCCGTCGGGAGCCCTGCTGTGCTACCCCCTGTTCCAGGCGGCTCAGCGGCCCCTGGGACATGAAGGACCTCCTCAATGGAGCGGTGGGCCACATGTGGTCTTGGTGTCCCATAGCCTGTCGGTATGCACCCGCCCTGAGGCACAGAGGAGACCCCGGCTTGTGTGCACGTTGATTGCAGATAGAGCTGACTCTTTAAGGTTTGGGATGCGCTTCTCCCATCTTTTCCTGCGTGCCCCACCAGGCTGCAGGGTCCCTTCCCCTTCCTCCTGCCCACGCTGGCACCCTCCCTGCCAGGAGGAAGGAGTGGGCTGGGGGCCCTTCCATCCCCAGCTCCTGTTGCGGCTCTGGGTAGCGTCCACCAGGTAGCATGAGAAAGCAGCGAGTTTTCTGTGCGTGTGTTTTATTAACCAAGACTGTAAAATACTTCCTGTATGGCATGTTTTGGATGTGGCGTGGCAAAGCAGCTGCAGGAGAAGCCAAGGCCTCGTTGCTGATGGACAGTGTGGATCTGACTAGAGATGTGAGATTCCTTCAGGAGAAAATAGACTAGTTTGTTCTGCTGTCCAATAAGTCTCGGCCCATCTGTTGTTTTTTGATTGCTTCCATAGGCTGTGAACACACTTTAAATCTGCTATTTCATTCAGTGAAGCCATGATTTGGCTATATTACACTAATGAGAGTTAAGATACCTCTTTTTAAATGTTGAGTTTATTTACTAAATCAAGAATTGGTTTGAAAATTCTTGGAATCTAGCAGGTGCTTTTGCCCTGAACATGGGAGTAGATGAATTGTTGAAGGACTCCTCACATGGTGACTTTTTACTCTCCTTCCCCTCCCTCTCGCTACAACAACCAGTTAAAAAGCCATAATTAAGAGTAGTTTCTTCTGTGTGCAGAGCTAGTAATGACTGTTGCGAGGGGTGCACCGGCCTGGAAATGCACTTTGTGGAGAGGTGGTTTCTTGTGCGCCAGGAGCGGAGTATCGGTTTGTTCAGGGTCGGGTCTGATTGCTTGTTGGGTTAACGACAGCCGTAAGCAACGGAAGAGCTGGTACAGAGCTACACGCCCTCATGCTGCTTAGCTGGTTGCATTAGGTATGTCGTTTCACGTTCAAGCAGTAAGGAACACAGCACTGGGAGCAAGCAGTGCTTCCTGAGGACCCCTCGCTGCAGCTTACAGAGCCCACGCGGGCCAGGAGCTGGTAACCGTGGGGTGGGCTGGCAGCAGAACATCCTCCTTCCGGGACATGAAGCAGCACTGGCTGTCACGAGGCAGGGCAGATAGCCTGTTTCTGGGATAAAGGACAAAATGAAATAAGTTCTAGGGAGGAAGATTGACTCTTTCTCTCTCTAGCGTTCTAGGAGGACTTCAGTGGAGCGATGATCTGCAGAAGCTGGTGTGCTCCCCGCAGACAGGGTTCACTCCAACATGTGCCCGGAGGAGACCCTGAGGCATGTTGTTAGGACGGCCTGTGATGAGCTTCATCACGGACAGCGGAGCTGTTCCTGTCCCTGCTCGCTGCCTCTGAGGTGGGGAAACCCAACTCCACAGCTCCATCTCCTGTGTCCTGGGCATGCAAACCCTTCTGTGGGCTTAGACCCACCTGTGAGCTGGTTTAATCCACCTGCTTGGAAAAAGGAAGTTTGCTTGTCTAAGCTGGGCTCAGTTGGTGAGCTGAACTGGCTCACAGAGGGCTCCAAGGAGCACCAGAGCCCCATGGTGGCTCTCCTGTCTCCTAGCTGGTGGGGACCTCAACAGAAAATTTTGCAGCAGTGATTTAAGAAAACTGTGGTACAAAGTTCAGGTTATTCATTATCAAAATAACAGTAACAAGACGAGAGTTGGAAGTTGCTCTGCCTCAGAAAACAGAAGGCATGGCCCTTTTGTTGGTAAGGGACCTCGTAGCCATCTCCAGCTTGGCCCTTTCCTTGCTGCATGGCCTCTCCATGAGCTTGGGGACAGCCAGGGGGACGTCCCGCTGAGGGCGACCACAGGATTATCCCTGAGACGTTATGGTGTAGCCTGGTCTCCATCCCGGCACTCTGGCAGCGCTCGGTGGGCTGCGCTGAGCTGTGAGCGCACTGCGCTGGCTGCCACCCCAAAAAAAGGCACCAGCCGGTTTTAGCTCCTCAAGCGGCTCAGCCCACGCTGCCCAAAAGAGCAGAGCGCTGACGTGAGGATGAGGGCGGGCGGCAGGGCAAGGGCAGCCCGGCGCGATCGACCGCCTGGCGTGAAATGGCTGTCCCTGGGCGGTGGGGGTGGTCTCCTTCGGCTCCGCTCTCGATCCCCCGCTGCAGGGACCCAGCCCCCTGTGTCTGGGCTCTGTGAAGAGCTAACTTGGGGCAATAACTTGCCAGAAAAGAGCCAAGATGAGTGAATGTTTCCATGCCAGGCTTATACCCTGAGCCAGCTCCTGTACCGCCTAATACCCAGTGGAGGGTTGGGCAAGGGGAGAGCTGCACAGAGCTGTACCCCGTTTGTACACAGATCGAGAGTCGCTTTTATTTTCTGCTGAGGATGCTGTGAAGTTCCTTCTGCTTTTTCGTTTTGTTTATATTTTACTGTAACCTGGCTTGAGATAAGTGCCATTTAAACAAGAAGGCAGACAAACCAGGCGCTGAAGCATCTCAAAGTGCTTTAGTTAGCCCTGCAGAATATCGAACAGAGCGCTGTGCCTCGTCTCAGCAGCAGGATTGGGGACGGGGGAGTCGGAAATGGTCCCTGAAACAGGGGGCTACCAGGGTGTCCCCAGGGACCTTGACCTTACCCTTTGTTCAGTAAAGCTTCCATTGACTCATGTCAATTTACTGGATTTCTTTGGAAGAGACCACTAAAAATTGTACTCTTGTCGTTTTCTGACTGGATTTTGCTTGTGTCTGTTAGAAATACAGGTTCTGCGTTTTCTCTAGCTGCAGTTGTCCCTGGGCCGAGCCGGGCATGGCGATGTGTCCCCTGCCCAGCACAGCCAGGAGGTGGAGTGTGGGATCTGGCTTCTCATGTGCCAGAGACTGACTGAAGCAGTTGTGCTGGTATCTTCTCATCAGGGAGTGGATTAAAAGCTGTTTGGAGCAGGGAATGCAGTCCGCCCTGGGCAAGGAGAAGCTTTCAGAGAGGTGCCCGCCACCACATGCGGCGATTCCTGCAATTCTTAGGCAGAAACTGTGGTATGAGGTGACTGACCTTCAGGTCTGACATCACTAGTTAATGTCTGGAGACTTCTAGGTATACACCGGGTTCTTACATTGAAAAATGTTTGGAGAAGTATGTTATCAGAACAGATGTATGTGGAAAAGTTAAGCTATGTCATGAGAAAAGGGTGAGGAAGGGGGAGTACTAGCAGAGCACCAAATGTAGGAACTTGGTTGAAGCTTGCACTGGGGTGCCCTTTTGTGTGACTTTATTTCTGTTTTGCGAATTATTGACTGCCCACATTGATTCAGCCTGAGCACAAGATGAAGTGCATCAGTAGGAATAAAAATGCAGTGGGTCAGCTTGCGAGTACAGCTCTCGTCTCTGTAACTCACAGTCACCTTTGCAGTCTAATTGTACGAGTAGGCTGTATGTTCAGACCAAAATGTTTTGCTTTCCAATTAACAATGCTTTTAAAACAATTCACCTTCCAAAGCATTTCTTCTAATTCTTGTATTCCGTACACAGGCCACGAAGTATCCTGTATGTCCCATTTTTATTTATCTCTTTAAAAGAATAAATTCATAGTGATGGTGAAATACAAAGTGAAAATCAAATCTCCCCTTCACTCACGTCCTCCCTGCAGGGTACATGACTGGTTTTTTCCTCTGGCTGTACAGGCATTGAAATAATTTTATAGCTACAACACGCAGATTGTGTCTCGTTTTGATGCCATGTGATGCCATTTGGCCATTTATCTTTCATCATGTAAAAACCCTCTCTTTATTTGGAGCTTCTCCCTGTGGGAGTTTGTCAGCTCTGCAACCAGAGCATCTCAGAAGCAGCTTAGAGCCTTGCTGCACTTGGCGTTCCTATTTTAGTTCCCAGACCTTTGCCTTTGAAACTGCAGCAGGAAAGCCTGACTCTTACAAACACCATTTCTTGACAACCTTCGGGGCGTCAGAGCGTGTTTCGCTTGTGTGTGCTATATTTTTTTTTTCATTTGTGCTGCAGGAATAGGGAAGAACGTGATCTGTGAGAAAGCTGCTACCTCTGTGGATGCCTTCAGGATGGTCACAGCTGCCAGGTATTACCCCAAGCTGATGAGCATCGTTGGCAATGTTCTCCGTTTCTTGCCTGCCTTTGTGAAGATGAAGCAGTTGATAGAAGAACACTACGTGGGCAACGTGATGATCTGCGATGTACGAGTTTACGGGGGAAGCCTGCTCAGCCACAAGTACAACTGGATCTGCGATGAGCTGATGGGAGGAGGTGGTCTGCATACAATGGGAACCTACATTATCGACCTCCTAACTCACCTCATCGGCAGGAGGGCAGAGAAGGTCCACGGTTTGCTCAAGACTTTTGTGAAGCAGAACACAGCTATAAGCGGGATCCGCCACGTCACTAGCGATGACTTCTGCTTTTTCCAGATGTTAATGAGCGAGGGTGTCTGTTGCACTGTGACTCTCAACTTCAACATGCCTGGGTCATTCATCCATGAAGTCATGATTGTTGGGTCTACTGGTCGCCTCATAGCTCGCGGGACGGACTTGTACGGGCAGAAAAACACCGCGCTCCAAGAAGAACTACTGTTTACAGACTCTCTGACTGTCAACAAGGGCCTTTTGGATAAGGGGTTCAAAGACATCCCGCTGCTTTACCTAAAAGGAATGGTGTACATGGTGCAGGCACTGCGGCAGTCTTTCCAAGACCAGGAAGACCGTCGGACGTGGGATCATAAACCTGTCTCCATGGCAGCCTCTTTTGAAGATGGTCTGTACATGCAGAGTGTAGTAGAGGCCATCAAGAAATCCAGCAGGTCAGGGGAGTGGGAGGCTGTGGAGGTGATGACCGAGGAACCGGACGCCAATCAAAACCTCTGCGAGGCACTTCAAAGAAATAACTTATGAATGCTCCTGCTTTGGACGATAGGACAATTAACACTTCTGGCTGTAATGTAAAAAAACCTCTCCGTTTTTAAGATGTGTAGATGCTTATTTAATAACCTGAGTTCCTTGGTTGTTTTTTTTTTTAAACGTGTAAAATATGTCATGTTCTGATAGAAACTGTTCCGATTTAAATTGTTTAAAGAGTTTTAAATGTTTCCGTTTTTGCAAACGTTTAATTTTTGTCTTGGAGACTGGTAGGAAAACTTGAATTGCCCTTTGCACTTGCGGTAGCTGAAGTGAAGCATGGGATCTCTGCCATTGCATGGCTTGGAAATGAGACACAACCCCTGTTGCACAGGTTGCTTATTTTAACAATTTTAACATGAGAGCATGCAGAGCAAGATCAGGGAGTATCTGTCGTTCAGATGCCTTTTCCTTTTCTCTTGGAGACTGATTTAAGTGTTACTCCTCAGTTTGTAAAATTTTGCAAGAGTTTAGTGATGTTACAGGTCTCTAAACTCCTGTAGGACAAAAAGTAGAAGGAACAGATTAAAGTTTGTAACATAAAGATCGGCCTTTTGGCTTCCTGCATGTGGCAAATGTCTTAAATTCATTTAAACCGGTATTTTATTTAAATGATGCTCTGAATTCTCTGTTGACGGTGTCTTGGCAGGAAAATCTTCAGGAAGTCTGTGATGATTTGTGCTGTTCTTCTGTATCTGTAGACATTATTCCTTCTAGTTGAGAGGCTGTCTGCATCCAGCAGCTTTTTTCCATGAGCTCTGTGCCCGCCAGTTGCATTTACTGCCTGGCAGCACCGGTGCCGTGACTGCGGGGCCACGTTCTCATTTCTGCGACTGTTAATGAATGCCTCCCAGGGTCACGGGATTTCCACGGTGTCATGGGTAACGAAGTTGGATAGCATTAACCTTCCGCGGACCTGCAGATAGAAGTTAGGAGGTATTTCCTACCTCTTGCAGCTCTCTTAACGTGCCAGCTGGGTAATTGTCACACTACACACGACCTGATAGTTGAGAGAATTGGGGACTGAGCTGTCTTGATCTCAAACACTGGATATTAACCCTCTGGCCCTGCCCGTCCTCACGCCCTCCGGCAGCTTGTGTCCAGTGTAGAGGTCTGTTGGCAGATCATGGATGGAAGTTCATTCCCTTTGAGAAACGTTTCTCTCTGAGGCAGGTATGTGAAAGGGATAGTCCGATTTTACTACATTTATTTTGTGTACTTGAAAGCTTTTTTTTAATGTATTTCCCACTAAATTGTAACCCTGTGTATTTATGTATATTAACATGCAAACTGCTGTTTCATAAGCTGGTCCTTCCTGAAAAGTATCTTGTTTTCTACAGAAATAAAAAGTTGTGTTTCTTGAGGGCATTCTTCATGCAGCTGTGTGCTTGTGTTTGATTTGGTCAAGCTGAAATCATCCTACTCAATGCGAACAGGAGACTTAGAGCTGGGGCTCAAGTACCTGTCAAGTCTTTCCCTACTTCTCAGCTCTTTTGCTGCCAAGCTGAGGTGTGGAAAAAGTAGGAGATAGCTCTGTGCTCTCCCAGCAAGTGTCATCCGTTTCTCACCAACGGAAAGTAAGTCCCACCAGAAGGTCTGTTTCCCACCTCTTTGCCGTTTCCCTCGGACAACAGCTGTTGAGTAGCTGGTTTTGGAGATTCTCTTGCCCATCTTGGACTTACCATGTCAACTTTTGTGATGAACAGGATCTTGATTTTTCTGCCTGACTCATAGTAGAAATTGCTGGCAGACACCAACTGAGAAGCAAAATCCCCATGGTATCGATGGGGCTGCTTCCTTGGAGTGTGTAAATCGGGTATTTTCTTTACCTTTGGGTATTTACTTTCAACATGTTAAACTCTGACAGAAACAAGCCTGCTGTGCTGTTTTCAAGGGTCGGAGCATGGCTGCTCCTGCGCTCTGCGCAATCTCATCTGCTGGATGAAGAAAGCAAACGGTTGAAACTTATTCACCATTCCCAGCCTCAGCAGGTGGAGCAGTGAAAGCTGCATCTCTGCAAACCATCCTTTACAGGTAGAGGAGAGGTGTTCCTGCCGTGGCTCTGAGCAGCTGATGGCTGTTATGTCTATGTGCTATGTAAAGTGGGTGAGATAATGTCTCCTGAGCTCACATGGAAGTCGCCGCCTTTGTTCAAACAGAACAGCTCTGGTTTATTCCATGCCAGTTTTGGATCTGTTTTGAAGCTGTCCTCCTTGAACTGAGACCCTTTCTGCCTCTGTCAGGACATTTGTACTGGGCAGAAAATCCTAAAGTACAACTCCTACGGGAGAAGGAGGAAGCGCGCAACATCTCCAGATGATCCCAGCTCCAGGAAAGACGGTGCCAAGACTCCTGGGTGAGCAGGAGACCTGACCGCAGAAGCATACAGAGAGGTAAAACAGGCTTCTTGTAGGCTGGCTACAGCCTCCAGCTGCCCTGCGCTGGCAGAGCGGGATGGTGGCCAAAGGAGCGTTCCTTTGGATGAGGCGGGTCGCTGTCGCAAGGTCTCCATTCCCCTGTGCAATCACTGTTCGTCTCGCACAGATGTAGGGGAAGCACCCGCCGGTTAGTGCAGCTCGTAGAGGGGGACCGGGCCGCTGAAAGGCAGTGCCACCCCATCCCCTCCCGTGCCCCCCGTGCGGGGTGACCTCCCGCAGCTGGTTTGAAGGCTGGTCCCCAGCCTCCTGCGTTTCACACATGAGGGAGGAATGACAGCACACATGTCCTAAGGCCAAGTGATGTGCAGCTATAGCTTATAATTAAAAATTGGGTTTGTTTTTTTCCCAGCAAATCAGGTTCTCTGCAACTGTGGAAACCCCCCAGTAAACGCAGAGCTGTTTGTACGGACCAGGTGCTGCAGGTCAGGCTGTGGCAGCCAGACGGGAGGCAGAAAGCTGCGTGGCTATTTGTACTGAGGAAAGAGCGGTAGCACCAGGTGAGCTGTGTATCTGAGCATCCTGTCGATATCAACCTGTATGGATTTGTCATCCCCTCCTGGGGCTGGGATCTCCGGAGCGCTGCTGGCCCAGGTACCTGCAAGAGCAGTGAGTGCATCAACAGCCCGGCCACCTCCTCGGAGTATTTGCACCAGCAGGATGCCACGTTGCAGCAGCACGGGTGGGATGGCTGCTCTGGGTCTCCAGCCTGACCTCCCGCCTGGAGCGGGGCTGTCACCAGCTCCAGCTCAGGCTGGCCGTGGCTTTGGTCCCGCCGTGGCTTTGGTCCCACCAAGGCCTGGAAAACAACTCTGGAACCTGGAGACTCTGAAGAGCGCTGCCCTAGGGAGAAGAGTCCTGCCCTGTTTGGCTGGGCCACCTAAGAGCTTCAGGAGAAAACCTAAGGGAAGAGCTGCTGCAAATGGTGACCCAGAGGCATCCAAGCTGCTTCTCTAAAGTCTAGGAGCAAGCATGGAAGAAACAGGATAAGGTGACAGAGTCTGCACAGGCAGCGGCACAAAGCCTCCATTTCTGGGGGGATGAGCTATGGGGACCGGCAGGTCACTGGCAGGACAAGGCCAGCTCCCTGGGGAATACAGGGGCTGGGTACACCTTAGCGGAGCTCACCTTCCAGCTGTGGAGCAGCTGCCCTCCCAGGGGCTGCGGGGACCTGGCTTGGCTGTGCCACCCCTGGGACTTCATCTTCTTCTGCTGATGGGTGCATCAGCTCCGGCATGTCGAAGTTGATGTACTGGTACAAGGGTCGCAGGCACGGCAGTTGTCCTGGAGAGGTACCAGAAGAGCCCAACGCTGACACCCCCTTCCCTGCCAGGGCTCTGCTGTAGCTCAGGGGCTGCAGCAGCCCCGGGAGGAGAGGCAGAACGTTAGCCCTGCCAGGAGGGGGGCCAGGGGCTGCGGGGGGGGCAGATGCCCTTGAGCTGAGGCTGCCTGGTGGGATAAAAGCCAGGGATACATGGCCACGTCCCAGAGACAAAACAGCAGCTGGAGGGAAGAGCCAT